CTTTTGATGATGATTGGTGGGTTGCTTTCCTTCGTGGAGCAGGGCGATATGAATGCAAGATGTTTGGGAGGAAATTTTTTTCTGGCTTTTTTTTAGATGAGCTGTTCTACACATCTTCAACATATCTATGCAGGTGTTTAGGAAAAAAAAAGACCATGTTTCCGATGAGAAGAAAAATATGGTTCAGTCTAGGAATGGCATTGTTTTAGCTATCTATGAATTCGAGCTTATTCAGTCCCACAACATGTAGAGCACAAAAATCTCCCTTTCTCCCACCCACAACTGCAAGCTCGCAGTCATCACATGCAGAAAACCTGAAGCCCATCCCATCACGGTTTGGACAAGGAAAATCATTTCCCTTGATGCTCAGTTGGTGGTGTTTTTCGACCAAGGATAGCAGCATTTAAAACTCCATTATACTGCCAGCCCCGTTTTATCACAAAGTTCATGCTCATCTCGAGGTTGGCAGTATGACAAGGTTTGGCTGCATTGTTTAGCAATGTCAATCGGGCTTGCGCGCAGTGAAATTATGGTCCCCTTTTTTGGGTGTATTTTTGGACCGGATCAGAACGTAGGTGACTAATTTTCTCAAACTCGGTCTGCTCTATTTGTTTACCATATGAATGAAACTTGGCAACCTATCAGAAAATAGGGCAAACTAATGATGTGATATGTGGATGTTGAAGTTTGTACATATAAATTAACCTATATTTTTGGTGTCGGAAACAGTTTCGTATCACATATTCTGTTTTCTATAAGGAATTTGATTCAACGTCGAGAATGTAAGAGATTTATCTTTCTTCTATAGTGACTTCAAATTTAAATGTTCTGTGTCAAGTAGTAGTTCAGAATTTATCAATTTATCATAAATATACCACTACCCTCATGTCCAAAGCGACTTAGCATGGAGGCTGGCTATTCACGCCGCCCTCCCTCGGCAAATGTATGTGATCTATAAAATAAATCCACACATGATAATTCCAAACCTGTTCTTTGGTCACTTGAAATACGGCAATGGTGGGCGCGCGCATCTGGTTGTTTTTCTCTCTGTTCCCTGTAACATCACAATGGGGGTATTCCGCGGCGAGTTTATCTCACCTTGAGGTGTTCATGTCTCAACGGGGGAAAAAGTTTTTTCAATTGTACAGCATGTTAGATTGAATTGAATTATATTTTATGGTTGGCATGGTCTAAAGTCATCAAAGAAAACTTTGCCATTATTTAGTCGCGCTGCCTACATATTGAAAGATCCCGTGTTGTGATATGATGCTATAAATAAAATGCTCTCATCCCAACACCCCTTTTTCTCAAAGTCCTATATGTGCACCAACATTTTAATTATAACAAAATTACTAAGAAATGGTTAATAAATCTGACTGCAGAAATTGTTTATCTAACCAAAAACACATTGATTAGCCAAGTTCCTTTCAAATACTCCAGTTAATTACTGAGATATCGTCAATTTTCTTACAGAATCTTGTTACGTGGTCCACTTTTTAGGAGTATTTTCCTATATTTGGGTCATCCATATTTTGCAGACCTTTACAAACGCATACTTTTTAAATTTATGAACCCAATTATTTAAATTTGAAAAGCGAAACTCTTGGAATTGAAAACCCTTTCTTAGGTACCAAATAAAAAAGGGCTAAAGTGAAAAATCAATTTTTCATTGGCGTTGCCACATTGTTGTTATCCCTCCAACAAAATGTAATAGTTTTCCTCCCTTCCGGCAGTGTGTTCTTGTTCCATGAAGGAGCATCCACTCAACACTACGTGGGCCAGGGTGAGTCAGCTTTTGACTGGAGGAGTAAGATCCCAGCCAACAAGCGTCAGAGGTCAGGCGAGGGTGACGCGGAGGTCATCTGTACCAAATCTCTCTTCGTTGACCCCTTAGTCTGGATGAAAGGGAAGATCTCCTCAATCGCGGGAAAGGTAATTTGATTTTTTTAGGGGGGAGGGAATATTTTCGATAGCCTTACACTAGTTTCAGTGCCTTTTGAACAGGTAACCTCTAGCTATCCTTGTACCTAAATCGCTCTTTATTGCTCAGTAGTTTCACCTTTGCTACCAGTGCCGCAGGATTTTCTGGGAACAGTTCACATTGGAAATCTCGTCCATCTTAGAATATGGGCTTTTCTTTCAGCTAGGTGTTATGGTTTCTACTAACATTTTATGCCTGTCTATGTAGGTACTGGAAACTAAATTTTCAAAGTAGCTGTATGACTAACAGTAAAGTAAAAAACAGTATCAGAAGCTTACTGTAAAAGAGGAATGGACTGTGGCACAATGATCAGTCTTTACATGTAAGTGGTCAGTCTTCCTCACTGTTCACAGTTCTAAGAAAAAGAAAAGGGAGGCTGGGGTCAGGTAAAGATTTTTCAGTAATTATATATATAACGCGTTGTTTTATTTTTCTCTTCCCAGCTCCATTGTCCCAAGTGTAATGCCAAAATCGGATCCTATATATGGTATGGTAAGTCTCTTTGTGGTGTGGTCAGTGTCCTATGTATGGTATGGTAAGTCTCTTTGTGGTGTGGTCAGTCTCCTATGTATGGTATGGTAAGTCTCTTTGTGGTGTGGTCAGTGTCCTATGTGTGGTGTGGTCAGTCTCTTTGTGGTGTGGTCAGTCTCTTTGTGGTGTGGTCAGTGTCCTATGTGTGGTGTGGTCAGTCTCTTTGTGGTGTGGTCAGTCTCTTTGTGGTGTGGTCAGTGTCCTATGTGTGGTGTGGTGTGGTCAGTCTCCTATGTGTGGTGTGCTCAGTCTCCTATGTGTGGTGTGGTCAGTGTCCTATGTGTGGTGTGGTCAGTGTCCTATGTGTGGTGTGGTCAGTGTCCTATGTGTGGTGTGGTCAGTCTCCTAGTTGTGGTGTGGTCAGTCTCCTAGTTGTGGTGTGGTCAGTCTCCTATGTGTGGTGTATTACCCCCTCCTTCCGGGGCGGTGCTTCTGACTGAAGTGTCTTAAGGCCATTCTGAAAGGGTGGACATTAACCCTTCCAGCCCCAGCCATTTTTGTGCCCTTCCTTACCCCAGTCCCAGCCAACACAGC